TCCAACTTGATAAGTAAATTTTGTGTGTGCTCACTACCAAAAACTATGTTGGATTATAGTTAGCTACAGAATGTGGTCACCCCCCACTTTGCGTATGGCTACCATTATGTGTCTAAGTGAATATGTGTCAAACTATCATAGGAATCCCTTCAACATTTAGTCACTGTAATTGTGCTTCCAAATAAAATATAAAGTACTATGAAGTTGATGAAAAGGTTATCTGTGCCTGTGTTTCAGCTAGGGATTCTTTTGCTGTGATAAAATGCAATGGCCAAGAGCAACTTGAGGAAAGGCTTTATTTCATCTTACAGCTTGTAGCCCATTATCTGGGAAGTACGACAGGAGTCTTTTTCTGGTAACACGAGGATCACCAAGCCTAGAGGTGGCTACATTCACAATGTGATGAACCTTCCCACAACAACCACTAATTGAGAAAATACCCTCTAGACCTAAATACAGCCCAATCTCATGGGGGCATTTTCTCAAGTGAGGCTCTCCCCTCTAAAATGTTTATAATTTACAAAAAAAAATTGAGCAGAACAGCCTCTCTTTAAAGAAAAGACCACAATCTCTTCAGCTTCTCTTACCATTCTTTATGGTCTTTGTCATATTTTTATCATATATCATAAATGTTTTTCTCATCTGGACATTATATAGCAGAACTCAGCAGACACACGTGAAGCTTTCATGGTATTGCATTCATGTCATGCGTTTTCACTTTTACGACAGTTCATTTATTCCTCTGCTGCAGTGTTCTATTACATTACAACTTACTCGTTTAAAAATTTCCCCAGGCTGGACAGATGGCGCCACAGTTAAATGCACTGCTGCTCTTCCAGAAGAGCGGGGTTCGGTTCCCAACATCCACGCTGGGGAAGCTCACAATCTCCCAGCACTCCAGCTCCAGGGGATCGGACATCCTCTTCTAACACCTGTGGGCACTGCATGCATGGGCACGTAAAGTAAATCCCTTTCTCTTTCTCCAGGGTTTTATAGTTGAAATATATTATGTGTGGATATAAATCTCTTCTTCTCTATTCAATTTGGAGACACTTAACTTCATAGATCAATAAAATGGAGTATTTCATTGGTTCAGGTATGATTCTTGCACCTACTGTCTAAGCTCTGTTTTCTTTCCTACCTATTGTAATTGCATGGATGTGGACACTTTCATAATATACTCTACCAACCTTACCTATGGTTTGTCTCTGTGCACTGTATTTCTATTTCATATACTTCTTCAGTTCAAGAAATCTCATTACACTTAGGTCTAACCTACGCATAAATCTGTTTCCTTTAAGTTCAATGATTATAGTCTTGTTTTTGTTTTGGGCTTTTGTCACACCACTGTAATAGACTTTGCATTCTTTAAAACTGCCATTCATAAATATTTTAAAGCTCATTTTTTCTTATTCTAATATGATCTCACTTACAGATAAATCTGTTTCCTTTAAGTTTAATGACTATATTCTTCTTTAATTGAATTTTGTTATACCGCTGTAATAGACTTTGTATTCTTTAAGATTGCTATTCCTTAATATTTTCAAAGCTCATTTTCCTTATTCTAATACATAAATGTGGATATATTTTATTCTACTTCTGATGCTGACAACACTAAGACCCTCTGAGTCAGTGTCTACTTGTGAACCTGCTCAATGTCATTCATGCCTTATTTCCTTGTCTGTCCAATGATGTTAGGACTGAGCTTACCTTAGAACTTTATTAAACAGACAAGGGCAGCCCTGTCTTTTATTTCAGGTCAACTTTTTATCTAGAGCCCCTACCAAGATTTCCAGGGAAATGAATGCTGGTTTTTATGTTTTAGCTGCTGCTTTTTAGATTCCTTCAGTAATTCACTTTTCTGGCTCTATCCTGCCATACTGCTAGAAATAAGTTCACATTAATTATTTCATTAAGACTACATGTTACTGCTGTCGATACAAAGTGCTAATTTGGAAACATAATTATTGCCAAGAGAGGCCCTGAATATTTTTAGATACCTAACAGATACAAATTCCTTATGATGGCAGCAATCCCCTGTACCAAGGACATACTGTTCTGTTCTCTCCACCCTGACATTAATTTTTTTCAGGGCTATCTTCAAGTATTGCATCTCTCCTTCCCTCCCTCCCTCCCTCCCTCCCTCCTTCCCTCCCTCCCTTCCCCCCCCCTCTCTGTTTTTGTTTTTCAAGACTGAGCTTCTCTGTGAATCAGTCCTGGCTGTCCTGGAACTCAGTCCATAGTTCAGGCTGGCATCAAACTCAGAGATCCACCTGCCTCTGCCTACAAAGTGATGAGACTAAAGGCATGTGCCACCAAAGCCCAGCCAAGTATTGCATTCTTAAGAAACATAACACGATACAATTTATAAATAACATATTTGTCAATGTTACTTTTTAAGACATAAAATGGTATGAATTCTAGATGATGGTTCATTTATCTGTATAAAATTAGTCAAGTTGTCTTTATGATGGTTCTATTGTCAATGACCATTTTCATTTCCATGTTAAACATTTTTAAAGATCTTACTACCTTTCTTTTATGATTATGTGTCTGTGTGAGGTATGCCACATGTGTGGGCTGTCTGAGGAGTCCAGAGGGGCTTCAGATTCCCAGGAGCTGAAGTTACAGGCAGTTAAGAGAGCTGACGGGCATGATACTGTATGAACAGCAGCAAGCATTTAAGAGTGAGCCTTCTTTTCAGCCCCACACATACAGGATTTCTGACCAAATATATTTTCATGACAATAATACATATGTTTGTATTTTGTAAATGTAAGTTCTTTAAGAATGAGGCAGGTAATAAAATTTGCTGAGCAGTTAGCAAGTTGTTCTCATAAACTTCTTCACAATTCTGTGAAATTCATGGTAATATTTCTATTTTCTAGAAAAGAAAATATGTACTTATAACAAGATTAAGATTAAACCAACTATACATGACTATTAAAAACAGAATGCTTTTAAAATAAAACAGAATGCTTTAAAACAAAATTTATTATGCTATATTCACTTCAATGAATCTACAGACCCTCATAGTCAAAAGGAAGCACCAGTGAGAGACCCTCAGGGAGGGAATTCCCACTGAATCCCAAGCCAAATAAAATCTGACCCTCACAACTCATTTGGATTATATTCTATTGTGTGCATCACACACGCACAGTGAATATGTAAAAGTCAAAAAACAAGTTGTAGGCATTGGTTCTCTCCTTCTATCCTGTGTGTCCTAGGGATAGAACTCAGGCTGTAAGGCATGAGGGCAAGAATATTTACCCTGAGTCATTTCAATAGTCCACGACTCATTCTAAAGAATGGAATGTGGTATAGCTTCTTTGTAGATTAAAATACACACGCACACACACACACACATACACAAAGAAGGCAGTCACAACTCACACATACATTATATGATTTGGGGACTTAGGGTTATGGTCTAGCATTTAATTTAGTATTAGCTTGGAAACAACAAGCAACAGGGAGCTTAAAGGCACAAGCTCATCTCAGGAAATTCAAACATCTCTGTCATATACTCCTCTCCTTAAGGTAAAACCTCACTATTTAGAAGACAGGTCTATTACCACAGAGCATACTCTATAATCACAGATTATTTTTTAAGTTGTCAAACTATAAATAGTAATAATTCAACATCAAACTGCTTTTTTTAATTTGAATGTAATTTTAAATTCTATGCCATTTCACAGTTTTCTTAGTCTGCTATCTTCTCAAAGGCATTGCACTCTTGAATCCTAGCCTTGAACTGTTTACAACATGGTGTAAGTCAGAGTAAATGCTATACTCACAGAGCTAGCATTATTCTTAAAATTTTGTGTGGAATAAGAAAATCAATGAGTAATAATTAAATTTATATCATGTAACTAGAAATGAAGACAACCTAATGTAAGTGACTTGTGACCACACAGTACAAGCATAAACCACTGCCCAAGGCTGTAGAGACAGTTCAGCATTTAGAAGCACTTTCTGCTCTTGCAGGGGGTCAGGGTTCAGTACCTTGGATCCACAGGGGATCTGACCTCCCCTGGGTTTCCAAGGGCTCCTTTAATACATAAACTCATATAATCATACACATATAAACATTGAGAGAGGGAGGGAGGGTGGTGGGTGGAGGGAGAGAGAGAAGGGAGGCATGTGCCTGTAATCCCAGCACTTGGGAGACTTGGGCAAGCAGATCTGTTTGAGTTCAAGGACAGCCAGGTTTGCTTATCATGTTCCAGGTCAGCAAAGGCTACACAGTGAGACCCTATTACAAAAAAACCAAAAGACCCAGTGTCCCTGAACTAAAATATCTGAATTCTGATGTCAATCTTTGCTATTCTGAAATAGCAATTAGATCCCCTAAACAAAACACAAGACATACACTATAATTATAAACTGGATTACACTGTGATGATCTCGGTCTATTCAGCATGCCGATCCACTTCTGCAAAGTATAGCCTTCCTTAATGCATACCCGGGCTTATCAGCTTTTCCTGAGACATTTGAAACATTTTCCTTTCATTTTTGAGATCATAATATACTTACATCATTTCTCCTTCCCTTTCCTTCTTCCAAACCCTCCCATGTGCCCCAAATAATTACACGATTTCTCCCTTCCCTTTCCTACCCTCAAACCCACCCATAGGCCCCTCCTTGCCCTCTTTCAAAGTCATAGCCTCTTTTTTCATTAACTGTTGTTGCATATATATGTGTGTATTAATATACATAGATCTTGTTCAGTCTGTCCAGTGTTACTCATCTATGACTTCAGGGATGGCCTTTGGTACTGGATACAATTGGGCTCCCTTCTCAGCAGTCCTCAGCATTTCAACAGTACTTACCACACAGAGAGAACTTCCTGATTCAGAAAAGGCTTCTCTCAGGACACAGATTTTTTTACTTGGATGCAGACTCAGGGTGGCAGAAGTGTGTTGAATGGCAGTGTTGTCTGTACAGACCACTGCGTTGTGTTGTGTTGTGCTGTGCTGTGCTGTGTGGCCTGCTCTTACCTGTTTAAACAGCTGAAGGTTAGCTGCAGTCTCCAGGAACTGTCTCATCACACTGGAGCGGTGCCTCACAAAGCTCTCCTCACAGAAGGTGATGGGCTCACCCTAGACAGAGACAAAGATTGTTGGGACATCAATAAAAGATCACAGAGCACTAGTCTTTTAGCAGACACATTGAGGATCATAGGGGGACATGAAATACAAAATCAATAAACCAACCCTACACAGTGGCCCAGGTTACTAGGAATAGCCCTGTACTGGAAATCCTGTGCAACGGGTCCCTGAAACTTAAAACTGCTCAAATTCACCACCTCAGGAAAGGGTAAATCCCCTAAATGCAAAGACCTGACACTGTTAGACTGAATTTTAAATACAAAAATATCATGAAACTTGTATAAGTCTACAATCCCTTTTTTTGATGATTAGACAATATGGGTGTTTGGTTACATATGTGTATGCTTGATGCGTTTGGAAGTCAGAGACAGTCATCAGCTACCTTGGATCCAGAGTGACAGATGGTATGAGCCATCATGTGCATGCTGGGAACTGAACACGGGTCCTCTGCAAGAGAAGCCAGTGCTCTTAACCACTGAGCCACTTCTCCAGCCCCAACAACATGCTTGCTGTAAAGTCTGTTGTCTGATTTTGCCACCTATATTATTCTTGATCATTGGCTGGTTTTCAAATAATGGAAGTTTATTTTTAAAAAATTGCCTTCTCTTAATGATTGCAAATGCAATTTGACTCAATATTCTGTGGTCAGTTGCACTTGGTAGTGGTCTTCATACTAAGCAAACACATCTGGGAAGTGTCTGATGGGTACTCTTCATCAACCAGGACATACACTTCACAGCCTAAGACTGGACTAGCTCCAGCTACTCCAAACGGCTACAGTCATCATTTGTTGTTTGATTTCTCCCAGTGCTGATCTCCAAACACTGTAGCAGTCCACTGGTGTACTTGAGGTATATATAGATAAGTGGTGATATCTCATGATGAAAATGAAAGTGGAGACTAACAACAATTCATTCACTAGAATAAGATTTGTACAATCCTTATGTTGTAGTGCAGAGTTAAAAAGCATGCTGGAATTCTGAAAAGCTATCAACTATAATTCAATTGTTAAAGAGACTCAGAGCTCTTATTATAGGATTCTATAAGTAAAATGCTCAAAATTGGGCCAGGCATAAATAAAAATATGAATTCTTTTACATTAAGCTTGAATTGAATGGCATGAAGAAAGGAACTTTGGTTGGGATCTTTATGTAAAATTTTACTTGTGTGTTCTATGTGTGCACCTCTGAGGTAAGAAAGAGATGCTGGGCTGTCAGGCATCTTCATCTATTGCTTTTCACCTTCTTTTTGAGACAAACTCTCTCACTGAACCTGGAGATCATTGATCTCCCTGCGCTCCAAGTCTTCTACCCCAGGCTAGCATGATAGGTAGAGCACACCCAAATTTTGACTGAATGCTGAGGATCTGAACTCAGGTCCTTCTGCTTATACAGAAAACTCTTTACCTTCAAGCAGTCTTCAACCATAATGTGCTTGCCTTGTCAGAGTTCATAAGTAATAGAAATAATCATGATAGCCTGGAACCTTCAAAATGATAAGCCAAAATAGAAACATTTTGATTTTGAATTATTTTACATGTATAGATGTAGGCCTGCATGTATGTATGGCTACTATTGTGAATATTGCATGCTGAGAGCAACAGAATGCATTCAAGGCCCATGAGTTGGAGGTGCAGGTGGCTGTAAGCCACCATGTGAATATCTGGAACCAAACCCAATTCTAGGTTTTAGAAGTTGCTTACAATGTACTTCCTGTTTACTTGGGTAATATTATATCCTTCTGGAGTTTTTGATGGAGTTGAAGAATAGATAGTTATAGTTTTCCTTAGTTAGGATGAAAGAAAAAGTAGATACAAATATTGTAATTGTAATTCTTGCTTGATACCTGTTTTGTTGTATATAAATTTTACTATGTTAAAGTTAAAACCTTCCTTTTTATTTAAACAGAAAAGGGGAAATGATGTAGGAAGTTCTTCTGTATATGTGTTGCTTTTATTGATTAACAAATAAAGAAAGTGTCTTGGGCCCGCACAGAGCAGAATAGAGATAGGTGGTAAAACTAAACTGAATGCTGGGCAAAAGAAGGCAGAGTAAGGAGAAGCCATGTAGCCCCACAGGAGACAGACATCGGAATTTTACTCGGTAAGTCACAGCCTCTTGGTGATATACAGATTAATGGAGATGGGTTAATTTAAGATATGAGTTAGCCAGAAATATGCTTAAGCTATTGGCCAAAGAGTATTGCAAATAATATGGTTTCTGTATGATTATTTCAGGGCTGAGCTGCAGGAACAAACAAGCAGCCTCCTACAACAAAAGCTATTTGCAATTAATACATATTTGCAAAAGAAAAGTTAGCTTTCATCCCTGGGTATATTAACCACACCTTAGAATAGGTTCTATGCCCAGCAGTAGATGGCCAAAATGAAACAAACTCAATGGCTGTAGACTCATTTGTTTCACAGTACAGTGCTATGTTTGGAGCTTGCTTTTGGTTTTTGGGTGTTTTTGTTTTCCTGTTGCTTAAAGATAAAGAAAGGACATAGAGTTGTGTATGTGTTGGGGAGGGGGGATCTGAGAGAAGCTGGGGGAGAAGAACGTGTAATGAGAATACAATATATATTTTTTTCATTAACAAAGATAGATATAGAAGGGGTGGGAGTGGGGGCAGAGAAAGACAGGCCTAGAAGTCACAATGCCTATCCAAAGGATTTACTTCATTTGGCTTGCTGCCCCTTTCCTAACACTCCCATTGTCTTATAATTGACTTCATAATACTACACCATAAGCTAGAGAGCAGGTAGTCAAATAGCTGATGGGTGATATTTAAGGTTCAAACTGTAATCGTCTAGTCTATCCCTCATAGGTTCACAGCATCTCATAATGCAAGGTGTAGTCAGTCAGTCCAAATTCAAAATTCTCCTTCTTGTTAGATTCAAATTTGTTCAAAAGACCAACGTTGTTTTCTATGTCTACAGGCAATCTAACTGTGAGTCCATATAGTATGTAAAATATACAACTTCACCGCAAACATTTGTATTCCAAACGTGAGAGAGTGCACAATTTCAAAGAGTCACATTCAAATTCTCAGGACACGAGCAAAATAAAGGCAGATTCTTTGTCAGAAAGAAACATGAATGGTCTATAGTGCAATTCTCAATAAAAATCCCCTTTCATTTTTGAAATATCAAAAGGCTGGCCTTCAGTATATGCATTTCTGTTAGCATTCTGGACTCCTGCATTCCCACAAGAATGAGCCATTAAACTTCTATATTAGCAGAGGGGATTTTTCTACCTCACATATTCAATCTGTACTCATTCTGACAACAAACAAACAAACAAACAAACAAACAAAAACACTGCCAGAATGGGCACAGTTGGGTACATCCCAGCAAAGACCCTACTTCACAGTCCTAGTTATCTGTGCGAGTTAGACACACAGGAACTAAAGCCTTCTCTTATTAAAGATTGTCCATAAAACTAGAAAAGACAGTTGAATTAGATATGCAAATACCCAAGTGGGAATAAAAGAAACATGAATTTTTTTAAAAAAAATACTTCTAGAGACAAAGAAATTTAAAGAAAAATGAAAAAACAAGGAAATTTGACACCTCTAATAGGACATAATAATTCTCTGGAAATAGGTAAAAAATGTGCCAGATTAAAAAAAAATGCCCGAGAAGCAATTCAAAAGAAGACACACAAATATGGAAAAAGATAAAGAGTGAAGTAACAGGATGAGTAATGCAACAGAGAAAGTTAAAAAGATTAAAAATTACAAGAAGTCACAGAAATCATAGAGCTAAAAGCATTACTTAATAAAGTTTTATAAAACAGTGCATGTGGAAGAAAAGGATTATAAATTTGAGAATAGGAAATTGAAATAAGTCAGATAAAAAGACACGGGAATTAATTATAAGAAAGCCTAGAAGAAACATGGGATACTATTATCCAAGCAAATATCTCACAAGAGCTCTAATTGGAAGTAAATACATAAAAATCCTGAAAAACTATTTAATGAAATAATAGACTTGAAAACTACAAGGTCTGAAATATGTACGTGCATCCAAATACAGAACACCACATGACCAGGACAACAGGGATACTAGGACAAGAACTCAAAGGTACATTAGTTTCAACATCAAAAATCAATAATAAAAGAAGATTATAAAATTAAGAGAAAGGTAATGACATATGTAGATTTATTAGACTAACATCAGATTTATTACATACTAGCTGCAGGAGAACTGTATGGCCATAGCATTGCTAAATAACAACATCAACACACACACCACTACCAATCACGAATACTGTAGCACTTTCCTTATATATAAAGGAAAACAAAAGCCTCTCCTATTTGTCCAAGTGATTACTCTTTTATTGAGAAGTCCATCCATGCATTATAACATACTTTGACCAAATCTGCCCCTACTTCCTCTCCTCAAATTCTCCCCATTCTATCCCTGCAACTTTTTCCAAAATTCATATGCCCACACTCTCTTGCGTGTTCTTTCTCCCTCTCTCACTGCCTCCTTGCCTCCCTACCATCCTCCCACACCTTCTTTCTTTCTCACACAGAGTCTACTTAGTGTTACCAGTATCCCTGTGGATGCAGGTTCCTCTATTACAGCATGAGTAGTACCTGCCCTGGCCCCCACCTCTGAATCCACTTAGTTCTGCTAGTGTGAGCACTGGATTCTCAGTTCCAGATGGGATTTCATGAGACTTTCACCATTTGCGCTGCTCTGTTGGTTGGCTTAATCATGTGCAAGCATTATAAATGCAGTCCTAACGACTGTGACTTCATGTGTGCGCGAGTGTTAGACTGCATGCTCACACCACAGCAATCAGCAAGCAGAGAAACAAGCAGCAATGCTAGTGCTCAGCTGGCTTCCTCCTTTTTCATTAGGACAGGACCCCAGTGACCAGAGGGTGGTAAACACTTTCAGGATGGGTCTTCCCCTTTGTTTAGTCCCTTCAAGAAAAGCTTCCACAAACACACCAAAAAGTATGTCTTGCTAGCTCTTTCTT